ATTAAAATGTCACACTTTGTAAGTCTGTATTATAATAATAATTCTGAACCATAAAAAATGGCTGCTAATTGGTTTAGTGTCTTTTAACACTATTCTTGTTTCTAATTATAATGAAAAAATATGATGCAATTGTGAATGGACTACACTCCATTACTATGATCTCCCTTTCTGGGTTTGCCATATAAAAAGGAAATTGCTTGTTTCTGATAAAAAGCCTCAAAAGATCCCTTTATCATCCAACATGCATGTAGGCTGTTTAATGGACCAAGCTCTCCTTTGGAAGCTTCATCAACATCTTATCTCTGCTTAACTGGCAAAGAACAACAGAAGTACGTGCCAAATTTTCCAACCCAGTGAATCTCCTAAAAGAACAGCAGGGTTCTCTCAGCACTTTATTGTCTCTATTAGTGCACTTTGCAAGGTGAGATTGCTGGACTTTTGCTTCAAAAATGTTTCATTACACAGTCTACATGTGTGACCATTTTATTTATGATTTTTGTTTTGTATTTTTTCTAGTGTTCCAGATCCATGATTACCTATTAGAAGGGGTTATTTGGCCAAAATTTTACATTAACCACCGACCTTATCTTGGCTGTTAGCTTCACCATTATGAGACCAGGGTTTCTCAGCCAGGGTTCCATGGAAAGCTAGGGTACCTCCAGAGGCTGCTAGGGGTTCCTTGAGCAATGAAAAATTTCTACCTCTCAGATAAGTTCCCACTGACACCATTGATCTTTTTAGCTATCTATAAGGGGGAAATTCTTCCCAACGACCACAAGTGTAAGGAGCATTCTTCCCACTGACCATCACACTAATGTATTACGAGTTGCAGATATAGTAATTTTTATCAGGGCTTCCCTGAGACTTGAAAGTTATTTCAAGCATTCCTCTGTGTTGAAAAGGTTAAGAAAGGCTGGTATAGAGCTTGAAACTCCAACAGGGAAAAGTATCCACCAGTGTTCCTAAGGAAAACTTGAGGACAGTTTGTTATTGATTCATCCCCCAGATGCCCAACTACAAATTAAATATCCATTTCAGGTGCACTTACCCCTTATATGTTTTTGATATTGTTGACAAAAAATGTCAAAGAGGCATTGGCACATTTTAGGCTTGGCCGTTTGCCTGTAATATAGGGATAGAGAAGTGTGGAACTACCTCCAATCCCTAACAGAGGGACATGCTCTTAAATTTCCTGTCACCTTATTGCTGGCAGATGGGCCGAGAAGAAGTCAAAAGGGGTACAAATAAAGTCACAGACAATAGCAATGTGTGAGTGTGAAAGAAGCTACAAGGAGGATGACAAAGAGATCACTTTTCCTTTGTGTCAGTTAAGTTATGTGAGTTGGATTGCTGCTGTCCACGTTTTTGTTGTCACATGAAATGTATACATTGAATAATAGAATGTCTGCTTTGGTGTGGTGAAGGATTTGAAGCCTTTTCTGAAGAAGACCCATGCACTCTGCAGTCTTATGGTTTGATATGGCATTAGAGTGACCCTACTATCTAGATCATTCTTATATTGTTGTGGGTATTGTTTGCAAAGATGTTTGTCATTCTGCCAATGTTTTCTTTATAATTGATAAGTTGGAAACTTTTTTTAGCAGTGCAGAAACTATGGTATTTGTTTTATATATATATATATATATATATATATATATATAATTTTTTTTTTTTTTTAAAGGGAGCTTCATCCAACACCTTAATCTTTGTTTCTTTGGGACAGTAAAAGGTTAGAAACTCTGTTCCCCCAAATTGGGGCAATCTCCTCAATTCATGTATAGTCTTTGTGGAAACTGCAGGGAATCTCCATCAATTTGGGAGTAGCAGTTAAAAGTTAGATTCTAACTTTCCACACCACTCCCCAATTCAGTGAAACAATGTTTAAATATTGTCTGCTCCCCCACTGGAGATATTGGGATTGATTTACTAAAGGCGAATAGACTGTTCACTTTCCAAGAGACTTTTGCCTTAGATGATGGTGAAAATTCACATTGTAAAGAATACCCACTCATATGCAAGGAATAAACAGTATTTTTACTTGCACGTGATTATATGATGGCCCTTGCAAAGTCAACAGCCTATTTGCCTATTACCACTTGTAAAACAAAAAACGAAAGGATGAAATGTTTTAAACTATAATGCAATTAATGTTATGTTTTTTTCTTCTAATCACTATCCTTCCTGTAAGGTGCTTGAAACAAAAAAAAGGGAATTAGTATTTACTGTGACAACCTTTGCTTTAAATGTGCATTGCACTTTGTGCATTGTACATTCAGAACAATTTGACAGCATCTGCTCATAGTCCACATCAACATCAAGTTATATTTTACCAATAAGTGCCTCTTTGCCGCCTTCCCACTTCATTGGAGTCCTTGAACCATTGCTATAACAGAGTAGGACAGCTGGGTGTGGGAAGCATGTGACCTCTCCCATGTGATAGTGCTTAGGCCTGAGCAGCCATGATGTCTTCTACCTGAGTATTTCCATCCAACACCAGTGTTTAGACAGGGTGGACTCTTGTAGAGAGGTGGCAAGGAAGTGGGGATAAGCAAGTATACCATGCTCTACTCCGTAAAATTATCTCTTAGAAACAGGAGCATACATACACTTGCATGCACTTTCTAAAGGTAGTTTATTTCCATGCTTCTTGAGGAACTTACCGTACTTCCACTGAGATTTTTGCTGCCTCTAAAGTAATCTTAGACTGACTTGATGATTGAGATTTGGGCCTCGTGGAGCACATACTATTTGTTGCTGGATTCCCTGTTTCTCTTTTCTTCTGCAGGTACAGTGTCTTGAAAAGTATTCATACCCCTTGAAAATTTCCACATTTTGTCATGTAACAACCAAAAACAAAAATGTATTTTATTGGGATTTTATGTGATAGACCAACACAAAGTGGTACATAATTGTGAAGTGGAAGGAAAAATGATAAATGGTTTTCAAAAATGTTTACAAATAAATATCTGAAAAGTGTGGCGTGCATTTGTATTCCGCCTCTTTTACTCTGATACTCTTAACTAAAATCTAGTGGAACCAATTGCTTTCAGAAGTCACCTAATTAGTAAATAGAGTCCACCTATGTGTAATTTAATCTCAGTATAAATACAGCTGTTCTGTGAAGACCTGAGGTTTGTTAAAGAACATTAGTGAACAAACAGCATCGTGAAGGCCAAGGAACACACCAGACTGTTCAGGGTAAAGTTGTGGAGAAGTTTAAATCCTTCAAAAATGGAAAGAGTATGGCACAACTGCAAACTTACCAAGACATGGCTGTCCACCTAAACAGACAGACTGAGCAAGGACAGCATTAAGCAGAGAAGCAGCCAAGAGGCCCATTGTAACTCTGGAGGAACTGCAGAGATCCACAGCTCAGGTGGGAAAATCCATCCACAAGACAACTATAAGTCTTGCACTCCACAAAATGTGACCTTTATGGAATCGTGACAAAAAGAAAGCCATTGTTAAAAGAAAGCCATAAAAAGTCCCATTAGCAGTTTGCGAGAAGCCATGTGGGGGACACAGCGAACATGTAGAAGAATATACTCTGGTCAGATGAGACAAAAATTGAACTTTTTGGTCTAAAAGTAAAACGCTATGTGTGGCGGAAAACTAACACTGCACATCACCCTGAACACACCATCACCACTGTGAAATATGGTGGCGAAAGCATCATGTTGTTGGGATGCTTTTCATCAGCAGATACAGGGAAACTGGTCAGAGTTGATGGGAAGATGGATGGAGCCAAATACAGGGCAATCTTAGAAGAAAACCTGTTAGAGTCTGCAAAAGACTCGAGACTGGAGCAGAGGTTCACCTTCCAGCAGGACAACTACCCTAAACATACAGCCAGAGCTACAGTGAAATGGTTTAGATCATGTGTTAGAATGGCCCAGTCAAAGTCCAGACCTAAATCCACCTGGGAATCTGTGAAAATTGCTGTTCACAGATGCTCTCCATCCAATCTGAAAGAGCTTGAGCTATTTTGCAAAGAGGAATGGGCAAAAATGAGACATCCCCAAAAAGACTTGCATTTGTAATAAGTTGGTTCTGCAAAGTTTTGACTTCGGGGGGGGGGGGGCTGAATACAATGCACACCACACTTTTCACATATTTATTTGTAAAAAATGTTGAAAACCATTTATCATTTACCTTCTGCTCCACAATTATGTGCCACTTTGTTTTGGTCTATCACATAAAATCCCAATAAAATACATTTACATTTTTGGTTGTAACATGACAAAATGTGGAAAATTTAAAGGGGTATGAATACTTTTTCAAGGTGCTGTAGTTTTTTTATGATTTTGGCTGTGTTTGTATCATTTTCATGCAACAGAAGAAAGTAGGAAGTAGGAACAAATGCCTTTGTGAAGATACTGCATGGGGGATAAGAATACTAGCACTGGAGGGGCTCATCAATTTAGATCAAACCATCAATTTATTTTCCAAAAATGCATCCCTAACCTGCAAGGAACACCCAATGTACTTCACAGCTGCTAGCACCATGTACCATTCTCCAGCCCATTTAGTAACCAAACTACCTTTCAGATTCTGACTCATCAGTCCAGAGCACCTGCTGCCAATTTTCTGTACCATGCTCTTTTTATTTTTGTGCATAGGTTAGTAATTCAAGTTTGTTTCCACCTTGGAGGAAAAGCTTTTCAGTTGCAATTCTTTTATGACTAATTTTGATAAAATTTCTCTTGACTATATTTGGATGTACCAGGATCCCAGTTCTGAGCAGATAGTGGGAGTTCAAATATTCAGTATTATATGACGCTTGTATTACCTATTTGCAGCACTTAGTTTACATGGCCAACCACTTTGTTTTTGGACCTTAATTCTCAGTCTTGCCCATTTGTGCTTTTGCAGGTGAGCTTGGACAATGCATTTGAAAACCCCTGACTTCCATGAAATTTTTTCTTAAGAAAGACCTTGATGATGCACATTGTGTCTTGTTGCTATGCTCACATTGCAATGGTGGAAAATTTATCACAATCAGGGGCGGACTGACCATTAGGAAACTCAGGCACTGCCTGAGGGCCCGGGGTCAGTAGGGGGCCCCATGAGATGCCCCTGGTACTTTTTTCATATGTTTTTTTGAGTTCGGGCAAGGACACAGGGGCCCCATGATCCCCTATTGCCCGGGGGCCCCATGAGTTGTCAGTCTGCCCTTAAACACCTACTGAAATCTCACATTTTTAATATGTTTATTTCATACCCATTTTTATTCCCCTTTCAGGACATTCAAACATATTATTCTATTGAGTCACTTTTCACCAAAGGCATTTTGTTTACCTCATAATGCACATATACTCAAAGCTCAATCTTATACTATTGAGCTTTGTAAACACCAGGATTTTTCAGCTGGGCAGTTTAGTCTAGCTTGGCAAATGTGAAAATTAATTCAGAGCTGTTGTCTGGATCACAAAAATTGTCTGTATAGAATTATAAATAATTTGGCTGCTAAATTGGTTCACAAACAGTATCTGTATTTTAATTGTGTGTTTAGATGTTTGCCTGAAGTTTTACCTTGCTTGAAGTGTTAGAAGTCAACCTTTGGTCCAAAAGTCTAAAAGGAATTGTTCACAGTGTGTTGTCAAAGTTGAGTTCCACTCACTCTGTAAAGAATTAAAAGTCAGCAGCTACAAAAACTGTAGCTGCTGACTTTTAAAAAATAGCCACTCACCTGTCCCACAATCCCACGTTGCCCCTGCTGCAGCCTGCTTCACCGGCCGTCCTGTATTCCATGAGGCCGGCATCTTCAGTGTGGGCACCCGGCTGTGACAGCTTGTGGCTTTACTGCCAGGTGCCCACTGTGCGTTGTGCTTCCTGAATGGCCTCGTCGTCTTCTGGGACCTGTCGCGTGTCCCACAAGACTTCGGGGAGGGAGGGTAGGAGGACAACTTCCATTTCCGATGGCCTAGGCCAGTGGTGGGCAACCTTTTTTTTCAACTGAGCCAAATCTCGCCAAAACCACGATTGAAATTTATTTTGAGAGCCACATTTTTAAAACTGAAAATACATCCCCCATATAGTAATTCATCCCCCATAGTAATTCATCCCCCATAGTAATTCATCCCCCATATAGTAATTCATCCCCCATAGTAATTAATCCCCCATATAGTAATTCATCCCCCATATAGTAATTCATCCCCCATATAGTAAATTCATCCCCCATATAGTAATTCATCTCCCATATAGTAATTCATCCCCCATATAGTAATTCATCCCCCATAGTAATTCATCCCCCATAGAGTAATTCATCCCATATAGTAATTCATCCCCCATAGTAATTCATCCCCCATATAGTAATTCATCCCCCATATAGTAATTCATCCCCCATAGTAATTCATCCCCCATATAGTAATTCATCCCCCATATAGTAATTCATCCCCCGTATAGTAATTCATCCCCCATAGTAATTAATCCCCCATATATAGTAATTCATCCCCCATATAGTAATTCATCCCCCCTATAGTAATTCATTCCCCATATTGTGTCAATTCACTTACCTTTGCTCCGCGCGATCCTCTCGCCGTGTTCCCGCGCCGTTCCGGTCTTCAGGGCAGACTGTGAGAGGAGAGGAGTTCGTCACGCTGCCCCGCCTACATCCTGACAGCCAATGTTTGCCACGCTCCGCGGGCCGGATTAAAAGGTCCGCCGGGCCGTAGTTTGCCCATTGCTGGGCTAGCTGCAGAGTCCTGACTTTTGGGGCGGCCGCCCGAGAGGGGGGAGGGGAGCGGGCGCCCGGCACACAGAAGAGCCGCATTAAAGTGTGCAAAGAGCCGCATGTGGCTCGCGAGCCGCGGCTTGCCGACCACTGGCCTAGGCGATCGCAGCAGAAGTGGGAGCGGGTACCTGTCAAATTTGGGTCCCCCCGCTCCCCAAAGGTGCCGATCCTTAATGGGGAGCGGGGGACCAATCTTTAAAGCGGAACTTCCCCTTTTGGGTGGAGCTCTGCTTTAATGTCCCACTCCCTAATATATGCCAGAACTCTGTGTGCTACTTAAACACCCCCTTCTCCTTACCCAAATCATGAAACTATAACAAAGCCTATGAACTCTTTATACTGTTGGCAGAAAATGAGCATAGGCCAAATTGCCTCCTGTTCTGGTTTTAGCAGGAATTTCTACTTTAAACATAAATTTTAGATGGTGTTCAAGAGATAACAGGAAGTTAACCAGTTGCAGACTGCCCCACGCAGATATACTGCTGCAAGGTCACCGCTCTGTGCTGTATCACATATCTGATACATAATCCAGCTTTTCCAGGTAGGGGTCACACCTGCTCCCGCTGCCCTCGCTGTGTTGTAATTTGTTACAGCACAAGCCGATCAGCGGGTCCTGGCCAATGATTTATGGTCAGGACCCGCAGATCATTGGAGCACATGACAGAAGAGAGCTCTGTGATTGTAAACAACAGAAAGCTCTGTCCTGACATGACATCCGCAATGTGCTGGTTTTTGTTTCCCTGCAAAGCAGGGAATAAAAACTGGCATATCCCTTAGTGAAATCAGCACACAGTAAACAAATTACACTTGTTAGGCACACAGCTAACCCTTTTGCTTCCCCTAGATGTTAACCCCTTTCCAGCCAGTGTCATTTATACAGTGTCACAGGGGCAGACTGCCTGAGGGCCCGGGGTCAGTAGGGGGCCCCATAAGATGCCCCTGGTACCTTTTTCATAGGCTTTTTAAGAGTTTGGGCAAGGACACAGGGGCCCCATGATCCCCTATTGCCTGGGGGCCCCATGAGTTGTCAGTCCGCCCCTGCAGTGTCAGTGTACAATATTATCATTGATCACTGTATTAATGTCATTGTCAGTTAGTCAGTCCCCCCCTTCAGCGTCAGCTAGTGTCAGATTGCCCTCCGTGCTATCACAGTCCCATTATAAGTCACTGATCGCTGCCAATACTAGTATAAAATAAATAAATACATAATTCCAGTATATATCCCATAGCTTGTAGATGTTATAACTGTTATGCAAACCAATTAAAAATTTTTTTTAGCAAAGACATGTAGCAGAATACATTTTGACATAAAATTATGAAGAAATTTGAGCTTTTATTTTTTTTATTGAATGTGTTTTATAACAGACAGTAAAAAAAGTAGATTTTTTTTTTTTTCAAATTTGTTGGTTGTTTTTTGTTTATATAATGAAGCATAAAAAGCCCAGTGGTGATCAAATACCACAAAAAAAAGTTCTAATTGTTTGAAGTGTTGCATGACCGTGCAATTGTCAGTTAAAGTAGTGCAGTGCCGAATAGTAAAAAATAGCCTGGTCAGGAGGGTGCTAAAATCTTCCGGGGGTCAAGTTAACATAAAGAAGGATTAAAGGTGATATATGCAGAACAGTTTAAAATATACATTTAGAAGTTGTTGGACTCAAATCACAAAGCTAAAATACCTGGATAAAAAAAAAGTGAAAGTTATTTTTAACCCAATGAGATTTGAAAATTGCAGCCACATGGTTAAAAATAAAGATATTTTTCCCTTTGTAAAGTGTTTATATAAGGTTTGTCTAAGTTGAGATGTTGTACTCACCTAGAGTTCGTCTAATGATAGCACCCCCACTATAAAGACACTTTTTTATTATTATTTTAATTAGTTGAAAATGCTTGTTATCCTAAGGCCTGAGAATAGGTTCAATATAAATATGCATGGTCTCCTGCTGGAGAGTTCACAACACAAGTCAGCTGTATCTGATGTAGTTAAATCTAATGATGTTAATTGTGAAGTGTTTGAAAGTGTGAAGCTGATGGCTCTATAGACAGGGGGTGGTGTCACCCTGAATATGAATGTGTCAGTAGCTGATGAGGAAAGTGACAGTTTGGAAGAACATGGCTTAACATGATCCGCTACATGAAAGCCAAGTGTGGGCAGTGTGCTTAAAGCCAAGCTTGACCCCCCTCTGTTCTGTTTCTTACATGTCATATTTCTTTTAGCAACACTGTGCATTGAGTGTAATAGCTGGCAGAGCACCATGAAACTGTTTTATTTTTCTTAATTTTCAATTTATTAAATTAAAAATTTAGAGTAGACAAATAGCAGAATTTTATAATTTGTGAATCACTTTAAAGATTGATTTTTATAGAAAGGATTCCAGATTTTTTTTTTTCTTTCAAAAAAAGGTTTTATTTTAAATGAGACTATTCCAGAGGAGGTCTACTTGAAAATAATATAGGGCCTCAAGTGGAGCTCCTGATACGTCAAGAGGGCCACAGAATAGCAACATATTTTCATATATTTGTTCACTGAGTTGCATTGCTTCAGATGAGCCAGCCCACTCAAAATTAATGGGCTTTAAGGTATTTTAACACCAGGAAAATGTGGTCTGTCTGCATTTTTTGCACTGTACCACAATGCAGACCGAAGTGAAAGTTGGAGTCATCATTGGTGTCAGTGGCCGCAACTGCCCCCCCCCCCCCCCCAGCTTTGGTGTAAGCTAATGCAATAATAATGCCCAGTGACCACAGTTCTAACTCCCATCATTGTTGTCAGTAGACGCAATAATAACTCCCAACATTGGTGTCAGTGGACACAATAATAACCCCCAAAATTGGTGTCAGTGACTGCAATAACCCCCAGTATATGTGTCATTGACTGCAATAAAAAACCCAAGTATTGATGCCAGTAGCATTGCTGTTAATTCCCTTGGTGCAGTCAGAAGCAGTGAGATTTAATCCACCCCCCCTGCAAAATTTATAAGCTCCCCCTTGTGTCATCCTAGCATTGCTGGTCAGAGATATTAGTGGCAGTGAAATTTAGGTCCCTTTCCCTCACAAATAGTTTTTTAGGTCTGAGTGGCCCATAATTATCCAATTCAGGATCTTTAGCAGCACCAGAAAGATTACATCTAAGAGGTTATACTATACTGTTGGGAGGGCATTGAGAAGACTATGTTGTTAAGACTATGTTATCCCGCACACAGGTTGCTGGCTAGGGTGACCAGTGTCCACACAACAGGACATGGCAACAGATTATTTTGTCAGAATTCTCATTCCTATTGTCTTATGTATTGCTTATTTTCGTTTAATAACAGTTTTTGCCCATGTATGTTCTCACTTAGAATGTTAATTAAGTTATATTATGAGTCAATAACATATATTTAATAAAAATAATAATGTAATAATGTCAGACTACCCAAAAAAAACATTGGTGTTACCCAATCGCATTCTTCTTCCATCCTCATAGTGCATTATAGGTGATTGAAAGGCAAATTCAGGTGCCATGGGAAATCAAAAGCTTAATGGGTAACGTGAAGTGTATTTTTAGTTACATATGAACAGTGGTGCCCAGTGCTAAATATTGTAAAGGATATATCTTTATCTCTGTATATTTAGTTAGCATATATTTTGAGATGTTATTGCAATATTTACCCTAAAGTAATGTTGGCGTACTTTTTACATTTTACATGCTTGCTCTTGTATTTTTATTATTATTAATATTATTATTAATAATAATAATGAAAGAAAGGGGAAAGTGATACAAAGGTAATATCTAAGGATGAGCTAAGGTTTGGGCTGAACTGCAGTCAATCCGTACCCGTGAGAAACTGTAACTTGACAGCAGGTCACTGTCCCAATCAGCTGTAACCACAGACTTCTCTGCCCTGCAGCCACACGTAACAAGGGGCAGGGATGCTGGTGACATCTTTGATCTAAAAAGGTCACATGGTCATATTTGGTCAATGACATGCCAAACTGCATACAGCTGTTTCAGGCTTTTTGGTCATCATCATTTCTGGGATATGTGATAAACTGAATAGTGCATACTGCAGTAAAACCTTCTTAAAACAGAAGGTATTCTGTTTTAAGAAGGTTTTACTGTAGTATGCACTGATTCAGTTGGAAACATTTTGATTCCTTTAGTCCCTTCTTACTATAACCTGTGTGGTTATACTGTCTCAGGTCCCAAGCACTATTCCACAGAAGCCATGGTTTCCATACATTGCACTGATGATGGCCTAAAAGCCTGAAACTGCTGTATGCAGTTTGGAATAAAATTGCTCTATAATATTAGGCTATATTTTCAGTATATTAAGTCACGGAGGACCACTCCCTCCTCCTCAAAAACTCTACTCCTTTGGTCTTCGTGACTGTACTTACTGGTTACCATCCTACCTATCCCACCACACCTTCTGTGTCATTTACAATTCTTTTTCTTCTTCTCCTCTTATTTTCTCCATCGGGGTTCCCCAAAGTTCTGTTCTTAGACCTCTCCTATTCTCTATTTACTCCTCCTTCCTGGGTCAGTTGATAGCCTCTTATTACTTTCAATGCCATCTCTATGCTGACGACATGCAAATCTACCTATTTACCCCTCAGCTCACTCCATCAGTCTCCTCACACTTTACTAATCTACTAACAGACATATCAGACTGGATGTCACATCACTTCCTGAAACTCAATCTATGCAAAACCGAGCTCATTCTGTTTCCTCCCCCATGTGCCCCTTTCCCTAACTGCTCAACTATCAACCCATCCCTGCATGCCAGGGTGCTAGGGGTAACTTGGACTCTGGACCCTCTTTTCGGCCCCAGATCCAATCAAAGTCCAAAGCTTGCCACCTCAACCTCCACAACATTTCCAAGATACGCCCCTTCCTAACCAAGGACTCTACAAAGTTTCTAATTCATTCTCTGGTCATCTCTTGCTACAAATACTGAAACTCTCTCTTCATAGGCTTACCTTTACATAGGCTACCCCTCCGTCAATCCATCATGAATGCTGCTGCCAGGCTCATCCACCTTACCAACCATTCAGTATCTGCTACCCCTCTCTGCTGATCCCTCCTCCGGCTTCCGTTCACCCAACTAATTAAATTCAGGATACTAACAACAACTTACAAAGCCATCCACATCTCTGCACCAGCTACCTCACTAACCTAGTCTCAAAATACCAACCAAATCATTCCCTTCATTCCTGCCAAGACCTCCTGCTCTATAGCTCTGTTGTTCCTCCTCCCATGCTTGCCTCCAAGACCTCACCAGAGCCTCTCCCATCCTCTGGAACTCCCTACCCCAATCTGTCCAACTATCTCCTACTCTCTCCACTTTTAGACGATCCTTGAAAACTCGTCTCTTCAGAGAGGTCTATCCTGCCTCCGCCTAACAACTGTACAACTATTCTCTCCATTAGCTCATCCCCCCCACAGTTATTACCTTTTGTATCTCTTGACCCTCCCTCTTAGATTGTAAGCTGTAATGAGCAGGGCTCTTTGATTCCTACTGTACTAAATTGTATTGTAATTGTACTGTCTGCCCTTATGTTGTAAAGCGCTGCGCAAACTCTCAGCACTTTCTAAATCCTGTATAACAATAATAATAACTATATACATCAGTTTAAGATGTGTATTTGGCAGTTTGGAACATTAAGGAAAGATTTGCATCACTCAGGCCATTGTGAAATATGGGATAATCCTCTCTTTTTTGAGATATGTGATGAAATAAGATGCAGATACCTCCTGTTTAAAAAATCTATGCTTTGCTACATAAAAAGGTATTGATACAGAAAAAGACATGGAAAAGATTTTATGTGCCCTGTATGTATATAAGGCCTATTCTGTTGTCATGTATAGTCATTGTGAACATACATGACAATAACCATGAGGAAGTGGTTGTGAGAGATTGGAACGCGATGGGTCTCATACCACAACACTCCCTTACTTCTCAGCTAAGGGACTCACTCCTCATCATTTTCTTTTTTCTTTTTTGCCCTTGTGATTGCTTATTTTTTCTTCTGCATCCTTAT